GGCCAACGACCGCCTCTCGCTGCAGCACTCCTGCGGCGATGCCCTGGAGCCCCTGCAGGTGGGGCTCGGATCGGTGGCTGGATCCGAGGAAGGCGAGTTGAGCCTTCCGTTGGCGTTTTCGGAAGGAAGAAATGCAAAGTTTGAGAAGCCTTTGGCATAAGCTCGCATCGTTTTAATTTCTGAAAACCTCCAATCGGGATGGATATAATGATAGAAGTGATATAGACGGTCATGATGGTCATGTTTGGTCTTTGAATGCACAATGAGTGTCGCCAGGGTTCCGCAACGTTTCTCGAGCTCCGGAGCAACGAAAGCCTTTGCTCGCTGGAGGCTGCGCTGGTCGCCATTGACCAGGGCTCTGCGTACGCCTTTGGCGGGCGGCTTGCGGGCGATCCCGGGGTGCCTCGGGGCACATCAGAACTTGGAATGCATCCAAGCACTTTTGGTATGGGGCGAACCACCAAGCACGGACCCCGCGAGAAATTTCAATCGAGGTAAACAAGAGGATCCCCAGCCTTGAAGTACTGGCAGCACCTCACCTCGGCACTTCTGAGCGAAATGTGGTTCTTTGGCGGCGGAGGTTGCTACTCCGCACAGCCTCAGCTTTCATTGGTCCCCATACAAAACAATCACTCTCTTCCCGGAGCCCATTTGCAGAAATGAGACAGGAATTGTGGAATCAACTCTTGGGGGCTCCGCTGTTCGGGCTGTGCAACTTCAGTCCGCCTCACTTCTCTTCGGTCGTCCAGATGGTCTCCCCGATCCGGACCCGGGAAGAAACGACCACTCGAGGCCGCTTTTTTTTAGAGGAGCGTGTTGAAACGGAAAGCTGGCAGGTCTGTCACAATGGCATGGATTTCCAGGTTTGAGTTGGCTTATGGGTTTTGGCCTAGTCTTGATACAAGTGAAGGATTGGCGATGCTTTGGGGGGTTTGGGAAACCAGTCCTGTCGAAGCGCCGTGTGGATGCGGAGGGATCAAATCCCAGGCGTTGAAGATATGCCTGGTAGAGGCCTTTGATTCCAGGGCATAACCTGCGTGCAGGTGTTCAATCTTTGCTGGTGTCGCCCAAGCAGCAACATCACCTGCGACTCTGCCGTGGACTTTTCTGCCCCTGCCGGCCGCCTGATTGGCAAGAAGATGTGTTTTGCTCTGAACGCCAACATGTTTCCACAAAGACGGGGGTCCTCAAAGATTTGGTTCTGTTGCAGAAGTTGTGTGTTCCAAGCAGTGGCTAATTGTGGGTTGATAAAGAAACAGATATGGGAGCTTTGCACAGTTGCATGAATTTGCAACCCTGCTTCGTCAAGCTTGTCAGCCAAGAAGTCATTGATGACACCCATGCTGGAACAGTGTGATGCAAAGGCTGAGACCAGTTTGTTTGCCTGTAGGTCGCATACGGATTGATTCATACTTGGCCTGCTCAGGTCAAGAATCAGCTTGAGATTTCCCATGTTGGGGTAGGTGCACATTTTAGAACCTACTTTAGTGGTTGGACGGGGATGTTCACTGGGGGTACGGGCTTTTGACCCATGGCCATGTGGCAAACCACAGATTCTCGACCTCGACTGAGGCTTCTTCAAGTCGGAGGGCCCCTACCGTGAGCTCTTCGTCTGCGAGGTGAACGCCAGCTGCCGGGTGCAGCTGCGGGGCGTGGGCTTGCGCCCAGGGGACCGCCTGGCGGCCATGGAGACCTGCGACGGCGGCGCGCTGAAGATGCCCCGCGGCCCTCGAAATCGATCGAAGCCCTCGGAAACTGCGGCGCGCGCGTGGATCGCGTGGATGATTTTCCGGCACGGGGTTCGGTGGGAGAAACACGACAAGGGCCGTCCACTTCCACAGAGAGAGAGAGAGAGAGAGAGCAAGTCCTTGGAAGCGGATGGCTGTCAAGCACCTCCCTTGGAGTGGATTTGGGGATGCCTTCTTGCCACGAAGGTTCATTCGGTCTGGTGAAGAGAGCTCCAGTGCTATCTCCGCGGATGGATCGAGTTACGACTTCGGTCTGGTGCGAGAGGCGTCTTGGCCTTCGAAGGGACGTGGGATGTGGGGCATCTGGCCATGGGAACGGCCCTGAGGTTGTGAAATCGAGTCGCGCGACTTTGCGGGGTACCGGAAGTTGTCTTAACTTCGCCGTGCTTCCCACTGGAGATTGACTCCAGGGAAGGGCTTCCCTTGACAAGAATCTGGTCTCTACAGCGAGGGTTCAAGCATGGATTGGGCGGGTCCAGATGGGTATGTCTTTTTTGGTGGTACCCTTTTTGGGGTTGGTTTGAAGGGAAACCAAAAGGAAATCAACCCAGATGGCTGTTGGTTTCCTTATGTTCTCCTTTTGGTTTCCATCTGGGTGTGTCTTTTGGGGGGGTCTGTTTTTTTTCTTTTTCTCGACCCACCCAGCCGGCTTGGCTCAGGGCCAGCTGCCCTACGAGCTGGACCTGTGCTGGTGCCGCGGTGGCTGCGAGGCCGTGGTCCCAGCTGGGAGGCGCGGCTGGAGCGCCGGGCTTTCGGGAGCTGGAGGTCGTGAATGGCGCCATGAGTTTCCATCTCTCATAAATTTTGGAGCCCACCATTTCTGGAGCGGCATAAATTCATGGTGGGCTTGTTTTGGAGGAAAACATCTGAAAAGCCCACCATGAATTTCCATCTCTCGAGATTTTGGAAGAACTCATCTTAGAAGATCCACATAGCTTTCTGAGCGACTGCCCTATTGGCCCCAGAATCTGTCCAAACCCAGGGGCAAAGACTCGGGCCTCTTCCAAATGTTCTCCGCCCTTTCACGGCACAAAAGCAGACAAAGTCACTAGTGTCTGCGTCAAAAAGATGAACAGGAACAGCTCAAGGTTTGTTGCAATCACCGGAAAGGCGCAAGATAGATTGACATTTTGCAAAGAGCGTAATCTTGGATGTGATTTTACAGTGGATTTGAGTTCGATTTAGAGAGCCCCTAAAGTCGGCACTATCACCAAAGGCCCGCAAAGCCACCAAACTGCTTTGCCCCCCATGCCAAACCCAGCTAAATGATGAGCCGTGCAGAATACCTCGCTCGTGAGAAGCTTTGTCATTTGTCGGGATGTGGCCATGGCACATAACCTATGGCTCCATTTTGGGGTGGATGAACATCCCTTTGCGAGAGGCGGCTTCGCGCATCTTTGCCTTCCATTTGGTCAAGACATTTTTTTTTTTTATTTTCCCCCCTCTTGGTGTTAAAGGGAATCTATTTTTACTGGACATGTTTTTTCATTTTTTCCCACGGTGACAGGTGTCAAATGGAGGTGGCGCTTTTTCGACGCCAGGCTCCGGCTCCGGTGTGCGCGGAACTTCTTCTGGCCCGCCGGCACCAGCGGCGCCGCCCAGGGCCGGGGCTCCTGCGCGCCCTGCGCGGAGCACCAGCGCCGCGACCGCAAGAAGACACGGGCCGCATAGGTGTCCTTTCTGGTTGGTTTGGGTAGAAAATCGAGGGCCCTGGTTTAGATGCGGTTTATTCCATTTACCAGTGCCGTCTATGTGGCCTCAAAGGATGCCTATGCGCAGGCTTTTTGCCGCAAGGCAGAGGCTTGCACCGGGTGACAGACACGCGAAGTGGTTTCTTCTAAAAAGCGCTGGAACAGGTAGTGTGCGTTGCGTGTATGTTTGCTTGTGTGTTTGTTTTTGAGTGTGTGTGTGTGTGGTGTGGTGTGGTGTGGTGTGGGGTGCCGTGCTGTGCTGCGCTGCGCTGCGCTGCGCTGCGCTGCGCTGCGCTGCGCTGCTGCTGCTGTGGTGTGGTGTGGTGTGGTGTGGTGTGGTGTGGTGTGGTGTGGTGTGGTGTGGTGTGGTGTGGTGTGGTGTGGTGTGGTGTGGTGTGGTGTGGTGTGGTGTGGTGTGGTGTGGTGTGGTGTGGTGTGGTGTGGTGTGGTGTGGTGTGGTGTGGTGTGGTGTGGTGTGGTGTGGTGTGGTGTGGTGTGGTGTGGTGTGGTGTGGTGTGGTGTGGTGTGGTGTGGTGTGGTGTGGTGTGGTGTGGTGTGGTGTGGTGTGGTGTGGTGTGGTGTGGTGTGGTGTGGTGTGGTGTGTGTGTGTGTGTGATTTTGTGTGTGTGTGTGTGATTGTGGGTGTGTTTGTGTTTGTGTGTTTGTGTGTTTGTGTGTTTGTGTGTTTGTGTGTTTGTGTGTTTGTGTGTTTGTGTGTTTGTGTGTTTGTGTGTTTGTGTGTTTGTGTGTTTGTGTGTTTGTGTGTTTGTGTGTTTGTGTGTTTGTGTGTTTGTGTGTTTGTGTGTGTGCGTGTGCGTGTTCTAAAGCATTGTCTTGGCGTCTGGGCGGCTGGGCAGGGAAGGAAAAGCAGCAGATCCACCCTCCTTATTCTAGGTTGCCGCAGCTGGACACGTGAAGCCTGGCACCAGAAACCGTCACCATGTGTCTGCACCAGTCACAGCGAGCTCGTTTGCCTAAACCAGCTCAAGGAGCTCGCACAGGGATTCCTTTGTTCAGATGGGTGAATTCTAATGAGGCGTGCAGATCTTTTGGATCTTGGACAGCTGCCCAACATGTGGATCGTTCAAACCAAGATTTACCCTATCAAGATGCGAAGAGTTCACGCAGACCTTTGGCATCCCCTGAAGACCTGGGTCGAGGTTTCCAGGGATCAGCTTCTTTGCGGCTCAGGAAGACCCTGGCTGCAGCATCGCTGGGCAGTGCAGCATGCATCTGCAAGGAGGAGAAGGACCTGATTGTAGGCTCATGAAACGCCGGAACGCAGCGGAAACTGCATCCTCCAGGCGGATTTGCTCAGCTACACTTAAGCAACACTTTGAAGCTGAGGCGCTGACTTTTTTTTGCGACTCGTCGGCATGGGCGTGTCTCACAATTAGGCTATCAAAACAGCTTCCTTGCGGCGTGTTCGACGTTGCCCTTTTGTTGACAGACCTAGCTTCGTCGCCAGGATGGCTGGGCCTTCCAAGAGACCAACGAGGCCTGCGGCTGCCGGGACGGCTTCTTCTGGAGTGCGAGGAGCGGATTCGGCTCGACGCGACCCGTTGGGTCCGTCGGCAAGAAATCGGCTGGGACGGCTCCGTGTGAATCCTGATGGCTTGAGCTTGCTGAGATGGGACACGTCAAACGACACGCCTAGGATACCTTTGGACCACACCCAGAGCTTCGTTTCTCTGCGATCCTTAGGTGGATATCAAGGGGTGGCCACAGTAAGGCGGCCAGTTTCGCAATTGAGAAATCACTGGCAAGGATGGGATTCCACTCAGTTGCCATTGTCTTTGCCTGTACTCTCTACAACTCAATCGTTTATCATGATTATCTTGTGCTGATAAGTCTACTCAAGCTCTCACATTCCTTGATCAATCAACTTTATGTCTTCTATTCGCGCAGGGTCGACCATCGGCCCAGGTCTTTCTTTCAAATGCCACCGGTCAAGATTCTCGGTGATGCTCTGCGCAAAATCGGTGCGATCTGAGGAGCATGGCGCGGTAGTGATAGCAAATCTTGCAAATCTGCCACGGCTGCAGCAAGTTGACCGGTCTGGCCCAAAGCGTCCTCAGTTGCAATCTGTCGGACTGTGAGCTTGATGAAGCCTGGTTCACCGATCTCTCAAGGTATTGGAAGCTCATTCTTGCCCCCTCCTTCTCTGTCTCTCTCTTTCTCTCTCTCTGCCCAGTCTCCTTTTCGTCTTGCACCAATGTCTCCACTGCCCCCATGCTGCCACCTCTGCCAGTTTGTAGAGGCTGACGGAGATCAGAGATCATCAAGACCAGAGAGTTTATCCTTGCCCCGCAGGAGAAGGCCCATGACCACCGTTGCCCCTCACTGAAAAGGTTCACGGGCGCAGCGGCCCTTGTACTCACCGTCCCGGAACTGGCTGTGCGGCAGCCATACAGCCAGTGCACTCTCGTTTTGCTGAGAGTGCCACAAGAGACCACCGGATTGCAGTGTAGAAAGGCCAACGTTTAGCAGGGCTCCTTAAAAGGTACATGTTGCCCATGTGAAACATGGCTGTTTTCTGCCACAATAAAGGGAAACCACCATTGACAAGGCAATGTCCAGGTGTATAATGTAAGGATCCCTGTTTAGTGGTGTGCTGAAAGAGGATCTATAAACCATGGTTTCCACTTTCTGCATCACACCGTTCACGAATTCTTTGGATGATAGCCCTTTCAACACGAAAAGCAGGAGCTGTGTTACAGCGGTTCAATCCTTGAAGTCACAGATACCGCCTTTTTCCACCAGCGCTGTGTAAGATTCTGCGTGTCGGAGCTTGCCGGACTTGGATTGGCTGGGTAAGTATCCGGGGTCTTCATGTTGAGCCGGTCGCCACCCTGACAACCCAAGTGTCGCACAGGTTTGCAATGCATGAAATGAGACAACGCCCCATTTTTTTGCTTTGGGCTTGTCCCAGTTTGCCGCAGGAACAGATCGTGCCAGCCCTGCAGCGGTGGGCAGAGTTGCCTTTGGCAAGGAGCCTCTTGGTGAAGGAATCAGATTTGAGAGTCGTTCACCCGGCTGCAGAATGGCCTTCGTTCTCTTTCCCTTTTGGGTCAGTCACATCATCCATCGACACATGCTTGATACATATGGCAGAGGCATGTGGCATGCTGGCCGTTGCTCCTCCACATTGACTACTGTACCAGTCGCACACTTTTGCTTGCAAGACCCGACATGTAGACTAGCGGAATGGAATCATGACACCAGCCTCAAATGGCAAACGCCAATCACCGCAAATGGCACACAGCAGATTCCACCTTTTTTTGTTGCGGTCGGGTTGGACTCATGGGGAAGTCTCAGCCAAAGTTTGAGCAGGTGCATCTTGGGCGCTCCGGTGCCTGTGGCCCTTTGATCCCTTGATTCGGGCAAGAGAGCCTAGCACCTGCTAGACTCTGCCCGGATGGATTTGGGGTATGAGGCTCCGAACTGCTTTCAGAATCTCAAGGCGGGTAGTTTGCCATTTCTGGTTTTGTGTGTGTGTGTGTGTGCGACGTCCCCACTTGGGTATGGGTCAAAATTAAATCACAGGGCTCCGCAGGTTTTAGTCCGTGTTTCCATTTGCCAGGGCAACCCATTTTGGGTACCCATTTTTGACCCACAGCCACTTGAACAGTCGAAACTCATAAGACTTGTATGTCACGCTGCTCGTCACCCTGAGGTGTTACTAGGACGGCCTGAAGGCTTGAGGCCAAGCCCCACGTGGCCACTGACTGCTTTCGTTTTCAATCGCCGCGTTGTGTTTCTAGTCGTGGTTGGTTATGTTCTTGCCGTGGTTGGCAAACATGTTTCCTTGTGGTGGTTACAACCCCTCCTCCTGACTGCTTTGTTGAGACGTGATATCCCAAGCTTGTTGAGCTGCGCCAACCCAAGTTTGCGTCGAACTCGCGGTGTGCCAAAGGGTACATCGCCCCTGACGCACCCAGACGTTGGCCATCACAATCTCGCGCGATAGCCTTCCTCAAAAGATCCAGGCAAGGCCCACAGTAGCCGATACTTCCTTGAACGCTAACATGGAGCCCTCTGCAACTGGGAGTTGCCAGACTGGCCCCATTACTGTACCATTGTCAAAGTCACCCCTAAGTGGTAGGGTAAAGGAAACAACCCAATTTCTGACTTTGAGAACCCCTAGAAACGATTAATGACTTCAGCCAGAGGTGTTCGATGTCAGCTTTCTGGAGTAGCCTCGCCGAGGCCTTTGCCCGCAGCCTGGCGCCGCCAGCGTTGCTGCCGGGGTTTTGGGCGGAGGAGCCCGCTCCGGAGTTCGCAGGCGCGGCTCAAGTCAGGTGCCCCCCGCCCCCCTCCCCCGCTTGTCCCACCAAGCCACCCACACACCCACAGAGACACAGAGACACACAGACGCACTTGATGCCCCCTACGGCATTCTTTGGCCACTGGATCAGACACGACGGCTGCGCTTCCTACAGCCCGGCAGAGACATAACACGCTTGACACATGAGGAACACCGCCTGAGGAACACCGCCTCAGGCAGTTCTGTTGGAACACTCCGGTTTTTTTCGGGGGGGGTCGGCTATGTATCAGGGGCTTCACAGTCCCAGCGCCCAGAAGCCGGGGGTCTAGGTTTCCGAGCGAGGGGCAGATGTAGCTCGTGGACCATCGAAATTGGACAGTGTGTTGGTTTGCAAGGCAGGCTCAGGATGGGTTGCTCCCTTGCGAGGACTGTCCTCATTTCGCCGGCGACCCCCCGATTTGAGTTGTTGTTTTCCTCCCACAGCGTTGCATCTGGCTGGACACAAACAGCTGGGTTCTTTTTGCCGGGAGGCTGCACAAATTCATAGGGCAGACTGCAGAGTCTCGGTTTGTTCACACAGAGCCAAGCCAACAGAAGAAGGCCCCGATCCTTCGCAAGGCCACTCGGTGTATCGCTGCTTCAACCGCCGCACTTGCCCCTTCAGCAACGGCACCTGCGCGATCGGCCGTGAGGGCAGGGGCTGCGGCCTGTGCCAGCAGGGCTTTTTCGGACGGCATGATGGCCCGTGCGAAAGCCATTGGGCCGCAGAAAGTCGAAGGCCAGCTTTTGGGTTTCTGGTACTGGTGCTTTTGTTTGAATGGGTTGCTTATGTTTTGATGGCTTGAGGGGACAGCATGGCCGGCTTGTGGGGACTGGCAGTTGAGTTCTTGACCAGTGGAGGAGCACCTTCAATCTTGGCGCATGCTGTTGTCAAGAGTAGGGACATTTCAGCCCGTTTACTCCCAGGTGTGCCGGATTAGGTTTTTTTTTTCCATTTTTTTTTTCGAGGGGGCCTGCTTGTTCGAGAACTCCCTTTGCAACTCGTGCAATGGTGTGAGCATGTGAATTGAACATAGTAGCCTAGGCTCGAGGAAGGGCGACGGAGCCCCGCAATCCTGTAGGAAAAGGCCCGAGCTGCCACCGAGTTGTCAGTGGTAGCGGAGCCCTTGCTTTTGGGCTCGCCGCCATGGATGGGGCACACCAAGTTCCAGCGGCACGAGTGCACTGTCACGCTCTGGGAGTTCGTTGCGGAGCTGGACGGGAAGAAGCACGGAGCACGACTTGTTGGAGGACTGAGCCTTGGTGCTTGTGGGAGAAGGGGTAGAGCGCCTGGAGATCTGCCGCGGCGTGATGCGGTGGCAACATTAGGCCGACCCCTTGCTTTTGAACAACCAGACTCTCTAGGAGTGAATCTTGTATCCAGGCTGTAGCGCGGACTGACGGTTGTTGAACAGCGACATGCGCGCCTTCGGGATGAACGTCGGTGTAACGGGCCTCAACCAAAAGACGACCAATTGCGAAGAGATCGCCAAGGCTGTGGGCCTTCGGTGCAGCCGAGACCATTCAGCGTTGATGAGCGGGCTTCCAATCAAACAAGGCAGCCATATATCCTGGTGGATGGACTGAGGAACTACATCCGGCGGAAGAAGTGTGTAGCGCGGTTCAACAACCAGCACTATCAGCTTGATGAGGACGAAGCCATCGACGCGCAGCGTCACATCGGGCGGGCCGAGAGCAAAGACATGCTCGTTGGCTGCCTTGCCAGGAAGAACAGCGACATGGAGTTTTTGGACGTGCTGAGGCGAGGCAGTTTGGAGTTCAGGCGGAGCCCAGCGTGCCAGGCCGAAGAGCGCAAGAACAAGGGCGAGATAGTCTTAGGCGTGTGAACATGTGAAGACATGCGCCGCCCTTGGACATAAGAACCTAGGCGCGAGGAAGCGCGACGGAGCCCCGCGGTCCTGTAGGAAAAGGCCGGAGCTGCCATTTTCAAATGGAGATGCCAAGCTTGTCATTTGAAAAGACGCTTTTGTGCGAGGTAGCGATGGATACATTCCGCTTGGAGAGGCTGAACGCCAAAAGTTCTTCGGATGAGAGAGAGGAATTTTATATTGTATGTATATGTGCTTAGGGTTGCGCGTATGTATAGACACACACACATGCAGATGCATATGGTAAATATACATACACATGAATGTACTTGTATGTGTACAGATGTGCTAATATGTGCGCAAAGGCACTTTCTTCTCCAAGTCGACTGCCAGTCAGAATGAACGTTCTGGCGTAGGCGTCAGATCCAATTGAAAACCCTGAGTGAGTGTTGCAAGTAGGAAACAAGGATTGTCTTGCCATCCACCAAAGTCTGTGTTTTTTCGGAAGCCATCGCAGCAGGTACGTGAACATTTTTTCAACTTTGGGCATCATACTACTTGGGGTCAAAGAAAGGGCTGTAATTTTGCCAGTCCGCTCATCATGCATGCATTTCATTTCCTCCAAAAATGGCCGCTTCGCGCGCAATTTGCGGTTGGCCAGTTTGGTTCGCCGAAAGGATTTTGCCCTTGTTCCCCCGCTTTGGTGTCACTCATGTTGGCCGAGCTTGCGGCTCGGACACGTCCGAAGGTGCCCTGAGCTGCACTTTCTGAGGCTGTGGCCCGAGCTCTTTGGAAGAGAGGCGGTGGTCCTTTGTGGCGCTGGCGTTGCCAGGCGTCGCGGGGCGCGGGGCGCGGTGACGGATGTTTCGCTTCAATGGCTGACATCATTCAACTCGGTTGTGTTGAACACAAAGGGATCGAAAGGGTTTGTCCAAGTCTGATGTTTTTTGACTATCAATTCAAAGAGCATCACACGGACTGGCCAGCTGTTCGAGCGGATATTCGCGGATGTGACTGACGAAACGTTCGGCGCGATTCAGGTTGGCTTGGCTCCGTTGCCTCCTCGGAGCTGCGAAAATTGCTGGACAGGTACTTGACCCATTTGCGTTCACTTTCTTTGTCGCGCGTAGGCCGCAAACGATGCTCAAGGACAGCTAGCTCGCAAAGCGCAACCCCCTGGGACGGGGCCTTTTCCTTGTTAAAAACCGATGGCCTGGGCAAGCTGCGTGCAGTTTCCCTGGCCGATGGCTCGCCTCGCAGGCTCGCTGGGCCTCAGCGTGGTGGCGCAGCTCATCTTCGGGCGCCAAGGCTCTCAGAAGGGCAAAGGGCTCCTGGCCCTCAGGCGCGGCTCCGCGATGGATTCTGGGTGGAATCCAAGAACCAAAGTCTCGAGGTCCCGGCGATTCATTCAGAAGGTCCACCTGCAGTTGGGGGAAAGTGGAGTTTTTAGGTAGGGGTAGATTTATTGTTGGTCGGTGGACATTTCAAAATTCCAAGAGTGTTCATGATTAAAGCCGTCTGACATCAAGACTTGAGCGGGTTTCGTGATGGCGTACGTGACATGCAGATGGCAAGTGATTGCTGGCAGCTCATGAGCGCTTCAAAATAGGGTGTTGGCTGTGATTGATCACAAAAAGCGGGTGGGGTGGTTTACTCGCACAAGCACCTTGTCGGAGCCTTCCGTCAACAGATGGTACATTTAGTGCACGGTTGCTCTTAGAATGACGTATCATATCAAGCCTGTTGCTGCTCGTGTTTGTAAGTTTGTGTGTCCTGCCGTGGTATAGTTGTTGAGTTGGTTGATATGCAAATGGAACGCCTGGCTGCCCTGTTGTTGAACGTACAATTCTACGCTGTGTTTTCGAGAGTTGTTTCGTACAAATAGGATGTTCTGCAGTGCAAGTTGTCATTTGAGTGCTGTTAAAGTTGAACGGTTTAGCCTGTTGCTACGGAGAGCTATTTCAGGGGGAATGTTGTTTCGTGCTGGGACTTTGTCCAGCTTTGGCCAAGTTTGTTTCTAGTGTTGCGCCTTCATGGCGTTTTTGGCTTGCCTTTCTTGCACCTGGGTTGTTGGGTGTTTTTGGCATGAGGACCAGACATTTGGTGGCTCCCAGCCATCCCCTTGGCCTTTTAACCTTTTAGTGTTTAGTGGTAGTTTCCAATTAACCCACTAAAAGTTAGTCACTTTTAGCAGGGGATCTGAGGGCAGCCCAGGAGACAGAAATGCATCCTTGAACATGTGCAACCATGTTTTGCACCAGCTACCCAGCCCAGGCCACCCGAAGCAATAATCCTTCTCCAACCCTCAACCCACCAAAAAGCAATAGGAAAGCATCCTTTAACCAAGTCTTAACCCGAAACAGGCCAATAAAAAGCTTCAGAGACTCAGAGTCTGATCAAACCAAGAGAGCCAGGAACCGTGCCCTCCTCAGAGTTTTGACATGCTTAGATGGGGAGAGAGGACGGCAGCATGTTGTTGCCTGGCAAGCTTGCTTGCAGGTCTTTGCGGAGCTCTTTGAGCCAGAGCTTCCAGTATTTGCAGCTTTTGTCGATTGCGGGGATGCCAAGCAGCCTTTGCGCGTTGGCCTTTCAAGCAACCGATGCTTCTTGATAAGACAAAGGCCCGCTGTTGAAGCTTCAGAATTTCTTTCACCCCGGGACCTCTTTGCCTTGAGAGCCTCATGGGATCTTGTTTGGGCCGGGCGATGGAAGATATGCTTGCGGGAAGGACAATCAACAGCTTGAACACCAACCGAATCACGACCGTTCTCCCACAGAGTTGTGGCCATGGAAAAAAGGATTGTTTGACTGCTTGGGGCGCGCGATAGAGGATTTGATGATTTTTTGTGACTTGTCATGAGGGGGCCCTCCGATCGGCATGTTTTTACTGGCATCCCTTGAGACAGCCGACACCTAAAGGTATTCTGTTGCAGGGCAAGCCCGCATCAGCCCAGGGAGCGTAGATGGAAACAAGTACCCGCTATACGACCCAGTGCCAGCATGAGACTGCATTGTGTGCCGTCAATATTTTAGGCGAGCGTTGATTTGGATAGCCCTTGGGGAGCTTGAGCGACCGCTGCACAGATCCCTTTCAACGACACCAGCAACGGCATGGTACGGCAACAATTCGCATATGCTTGACACAAATGTGGCAATCACAACTCCCATTTGGACAGGATGTCAAGGCCCTGAAGACAGGAAAAGGGATTGGGCAGATTTTTCAGCGTGGTGTGTTTCTGTGTGCTTGTTTGAACAAGATGGGCACACTGCGGCCAGAACTGTTTGCTTTCTTGCTTCGTGTCCGAAGCCGGACTCTGATGCCATTCAAACTGAGACGCTGCATTTTCCAGCAGGCATTCCCGTGCATTTGTGTCATGGTTTACTACCAGACCGCCGGATTTGAGCCTTGCAGAGACAACGCTTGCACCCTAATCAAACATGGGATGACGGGATTCGCGCTTCACCCGGGGTCCGCAGGATGTGAAGGGCGGTGCTGTGGTACCACAGCGTAAGCCAAGCAGTATGTTCTTTGGCAAGCCGGTGGCGCCAAACCAGGGGCAAGGGTGGGGAGATAGAGCTGAAGCACATGGGCCATGCGGAGAGTAGTTTGCCTTCTTTTCCAGATGTGGAGCCCATATCAAACGAGTTGGCCGAGATACAGCTCCCCTGAATTTGACCCATAAATTGAACCTGGGACGCGAAGAAGAAGCGCTTTTGGGCCACCATGAGCCGCGCGGATGCGCGCATCACTGAGGTGTCCTTCTTCGAGGTGCGATGGCCATCACTGCTGGAACAACTTTGGAACGCCTTGCGGTCCCTCTTCGTGCCCTTGCGGCTCAGCACTGGCTGTTTGCTTGAGGAGCCCTCGGCCCGTAGCGAGCTCATGGCAAGGCGCGAAGAGCGAGTTGACAGCTCCCAGTTTGAGTGAGAGCGGGCCTTGTTGATTTGCTGGCTTCTTTTTTCAAGTCAAAACCGGCAGTTGCAGGCCTCGATTTTGGTTGAGTTGTACTCACCAGCGGGGCTGTTCTCAGCTTGGTGCTGATGTTGTTTGTTTTTGTGTTTGTCAGACACGTCAGATCAAAATGCAGGTGCCCAAACAGTGAGATCCTTGTGAATTCATGCTGCCTCGTTCGCTCACGAGTGCAGCTTGGAACGGAAACTCCGAGCCAGGCACCGCTCTCGTACCCAACTGTCATGTTTGCCCGTCTCTGACTTGTTTGGATCCTGTGGTGGAGGGGATCTTGCCTGGTGGAAGCGGCAAGTATCACCCTAGCGTATTGAATCTTATTGTTTGGTGACTGGCTGTGGGTCAAAACCAATGGTACTATTTTGGGGAAATTAGGTGCACCACCCATTTTAGAACTTATTTTAGTGGTTGGACGGGGATGTTCACTGGGCAAACCAACTGAAAGGAAACCCCTCGTTGCTTTGCCTGCTTTCAGGCTCGCCAATTCTCAGTGCCAAACGGCCGGCAGGCTGCTGCTTCCGTTTGGCGTCGTGGTGGTGGCCTTGCAGCTGCCATGGCTTTCCCGGCTTCTTCAGAGCCTGAGCTGGAATTGGCGGTGGGTCAAAAATACTTCCATTTGCTTAAGAATATTATTTTTTATTCTCCCCCTGTTGGTTTTAAAGGGAATCTATCACTACTGGAAATATCTTTCTTTTTCCATGGGCCTTAACCAAATGGAAGAATATGTACCCAAAATTAGTTGTTTTTGACCCATACCCATCTCGCGCGCCACTCATTTGTGGAGCGACACAGATTTGTAAGACAACTATTTTTATTAGGATGGTAGCCTCTAGGGTGTGGATCCCGTTTGGGGGAGCCATGGACATTACTTTTGTGACTTTTGTGAGCTGAGTTTGAGCCGTCCTAGCCATGTGAGGAAGCTCCTGGCTCGCGATATTCAGCTTGCGGTGCGCGAGGTCTTGAAGATGCTGGTCTGGCTTGGATGCCTGTGCCATGGCTTTGCTTGAAATAGTCAGCAAGGGCGCGATCCAACTTGGCCCGGGGCCTTTTCGCTTTGTGGCATTGCTTTAGCCATGAGTTGACCTTGACCATGAATGTGACCATGTCATTTTAGCAGCGCTACAGAGACTCAGCACTTGGAAGCTTGGAAGTGTCAAGGTTCAACGGCTCCACTCATCCAAGCCATGCCGCCGTACCTGAAGTTTGTGTGAACAAAAAATTGAAACCATCCCAAACTACCCCTTGCCGGAGCGTCAACCTCCGACGCGTAGCGGATATGGACCCGCACTTCTGGAGGTGTTTTGGACTCTCTTTTTTTCAGGCAGCTTGCACCTTTTGATTAGATTGGGTTTGTATTTTCCAGCATCTTGCGCCAAGTTCGCACCAGACTGGGTTTTCGCTGCAGGTTCTTCAGCACGCTCATTCACAACGGCTTCCTGCTCTTCAGCTGCGCGAAAGGCCGGGCCACGGCTCGCAAAAGCTTTTGCACCCCCCGGAAGAACGTGATCCCAGGGCAAAGGAGGGGATGACAAGCCGTTGACACAGGGCCCTGCACTTGGCCAGTCGGCAATTCTACCGACCTGAAAAACTTTTTGGATGAGTCGGAGTTCGCAAGAAGATCACTTGCTGCTACTTGCCAACAACTCAATGTGACAATGTGTGTGTGTGTGTGTGTGTGTGCGGGCCTCCGTATCCCTTCAAGCCCTGATAGACGAAAACGATTCCCGACTAGGAAAACTCAAGTTCTGAAGAGGTGGCAGAGCTGTGCCGCACCGTTCTACTGCTTTTAATATCACATCAGAGTCTATCTTTTTTCTCCAGCAGATACACTCCACTGGAATTTTCCTGTCTTCCAAGATCACGGTTTCTTTGTTCCATGCCAAATCCGCTGGCGCCCTCAAGCGCCAGGCCCCAACGACGTGTCCACCGTGGTGATCTTCCCGCACCTCCGATGCCCACCCGGCCCTGACAAGGAGTGGCTGGAGCTGCTGCCCTTCGCAGCACCCAGACCGCGAAACGGCTGCCGAGCCTCCACTAAAGCCAATAGATAGGGGCTGATTTATCCTGGGATTAGTACATGGAACTGGGTTTAATAGTGGGTTTATTAGTTCTTATAAATCGTACATTCGCCTCTTCCCATAGTTAAGAGTCCCTGTTCCCAAAAGTACACTCACCTACGGCCTTTTAGTTTAGGTGTGAGTCTTCGGAGAAATCGAAAGGAGGCGACTCCTTTGTTTTTCTTCTTCTCCAAAGTGAAGCCAAAGTCACAGGGAACAAGAACAAAGTGTTTGTTGCCGTTTGGACTTTCACTTTTTTCTTTGTCCTCCCAAAGTGACACATTTGGAAGAGCCACAGTGAAGCATGTACAAGGGGTATCTGGTTCCCATGGCCCGTTTCGACTCCACGGGTGTTCGGGTGAAGATGATCGCTTGGAGAGCAATGAAGGTCTTGAGTGCGGGTTGGCTTCGGTGTGGGAGTCAAAGTCGGGAGAAAGCACGACTATGAAGACCTGAAAAACCGCTGTCGCCCTCATGAACCGATGAGCCAAGGTGCCGCAAGGCGACAAACTTAATATGCACAGGTGCGACCCGCCATACTGTTGTACCGTTCGTATTCGTTGTACACTACCCGTGCCCCACACTTTTCTTGCGCAGACACGTTGCAACCCACGTAGGCCAACATGGTCAGAACCTCCTGTAGTAGTTCATCTATGCTTGCCAAACACGATCAAGACCCCCTGCACTTGTGCATCCATGCCTGAAATGTGCCATTTCTTGCCACCAGAGCTGGCCATGGGTACAGTATATCTGGCACCCCCAAGGTTCGGGCTGGCAAGACAGTGCGAACGGTGGGGGGGGGGCTGTTATTTGCTTCAAACAAATCGCTGATGTTCCAATGCTTTTTGTGGGCTGTTGCCGGAGAGGTGTGCTATCGATATTGTTTTGTTGAGTCGTTTGCAGCAACGATCTTGTCTTCAATCGTGGGTGCAAAAACTACGGAGCTGCCAGGCGTGTTCATGGTTGCAACGTTGCTGAAAGGCGTTCAAGCTGCAGGATTGATTTGTACATTCCTAATTGACACAGTGGTGAAACTGCCGGAGTTTGCAGAGGCAAATCGGTGCAGTTGCTGCAAGCGGGCCCTCGGTGGAACTTTTTTAAGGTTTTTAGGTTTGGGCCCAGGTGGCATACAACGCATTCTTCGGTGTGGGCCTGACTTTGGCCGTGATGTTCGCTGCCAAGAAGTCCGTGTTCCACCTGGTGCAAAGCAACTTTCAGGAACGCGGGCCCTGGTCGTTTTTGGCCATCGATTTCAGAGACGCTTGCTTGCACAGCGGCATGATGGCAGGGTTGGGGTGTTTTCGCCAGCTTCTCACAGGAAGAACAATGCGAGCAAACACAACTGGGTATGGGTCAAAATAAGCCCACCAGGGGACCGCAGGTTGAGTCTTTGGTTCTGGTTCCATTCATCAGGGTTCCGGTACGCATTTTTTGACCCACAGCCTAAAGGCAAGCCATGCCCTTGGCGCGTGAAGGCAGGGTGAGGCGGGATGAAGTACAGTAAGTGAAAGCCGTCCATTCACCCCTCGCCAAAAGGAAAGTCTATGGTACCCGTTCAACCAGGTTGGCTTCTGGAAACGTTCATCGAATATTGTTGCGGCAGGATTGACTGCAGTGCCGGGCTACAAATCAGCCATCGCTCACTGTTTACACCCTCTTAAGGCAGTGCTGGCTGCACTGACCATGTGTCAGGCATGAAGCCAGTGGCACGGAGATACATACCTTCCCTCCTCAGAACCCAACAGTATTCTTCCCTTCACCCTGTAAATTCACTTATGAACATCGTGTTGTCCATGAATAATCCTTTTGGAACCGCAATTCGTGCAGACTGATATATGATCTCAAGAGTCTTCAGTGCCTTTGAGTCTGTAAGGACACATTTATGTGGTGGCCGAGCTTGAAGCTCGCAAAAGACCTGGCCATCAACATCATTGCTGCTATTTGCATCAATTTCGGCTCGTTTCAGCTGCTGGGTACGGCCTTCATCTCTGGCTTCTATGCATACGCTTGCCTGACGCGCCATCCCTTCCAGGACTCGATCGATCGTGTGTGTGTTTTTTTGCCGTCGACGCCTCAGGGTTTGCTCCTGGGTCCCGGCGACTTTTTGCCTGAAAGCCCAGGCGCATCGCTGTCGAATTTTTGGTCGGGCAAGGACTGCTTGAACAATGGCCTGGAGATTTGGTGCTCGCTTTCCGTGATGATCCTTTGCCTTTTCACAGCAGGCGCGGAGTCTTTCTTTCAGCCAGCTGCCGGGGAAGGAGGCACTTGATGAAGGAAGGCAAAGTTTAGAGTATGCCCTGAGTTTTACCAGCTTTGGTCAGCTAAGACCTACATTGGAAACCTGGAACGCACGCTCTGATTGCTCTGTTTGTCTCCATCCACTCTGTTGATGGTTTGGTACTGCGTGTTTGTCGCAGACTACCAGGCTTTCGAGGATGTGAGCTGGTTCATGATGTCTTATTCGTCAGATTCCTTCGTTGGTGGTCGTTTTTGGCTGCAGGTGCAGCCCAGTGAGTAGGCACACATCAAGCTGTTAAAGGGTAGCATGAGCATGATTTTCATGTCACCTCATTCGTTGGCGGATAGCATGCTGTGGCATACTCATCAATAGTCTGCTCGGTCTGCGTGGATCATGAATGGATCCTGATTCCTAGAGGGTCCTGAATTTATTAACCTGATCTCAAAGGGTTGAGACCTACCCAAATTGGGATCTTAAGAAACTCAAGGGTTGTTTTCTGCACGTGTGTCTCTAGCCTGTAGCCTCTTCGCTGGTCTTGATTCCAGGCCCTTCCTCGATCACAGCATTCATCACGGATATAATCACGGATATCCGCCAAGGGTAAGCCGGAAGCATGTAAAGTCTGTGAATTCAGAAAGCACTCAAACAAATCGGCATGTTTTGATCAGCTGTGAGGGATTTTGCGCCGTGCCGGCGCTGCAAAAGCGATCAAGTCATCTCAAAAACGACAAAGTGACATTGGAGGACAGGTGGGAAAGAGCGTAGAGACAGGGAAATGCCCTCACACATACGAGACACCTGCCGCACTTGCCTCGATGGTGATTGGAATCACTCGGTTTGGTGTCAACCTGGCAACTGATGCTGATGGCATGTATCGAAAGTAGTAGCTAGTAGTTTCTACTTGAAGCCTTCAAGTGCATGGGCTGAATCTCCACTTGAGGTTTGGGCCGAAAATGAGATAGAATCCAGAGTTTACTCCCCAAAACCGGAGGCGGCTCTCCAGGTTCTGTTCGCAAAACGACGGCAAGACGTTGATTCAACAGTTTTTGGTTTTGGATCACGCATCAAGCGCAAGTGCATAGTCCGAATCTTAACTTGTTGATATTTTTTCCGAACAATTGGTGGAGCTAATTCGTAGACTTAACACCATGGTTTTGTCCCAACCACTCCTTCAGGTTCTCTCGCTTCGGCCTCACCCTTGCTTCTGCTTGCCAGCAATCGTCCACCTCCTCTCAAGTTTCATACGCTGAGTCCCCTCAACCAGCCCCGTTTGGGGACGCCTCTTCAGGCATGGGTCTCGCCAGTGATATCCGGGAGGCCAGGAGTTGCGTGCTTGACCACCACAATATGCAGTCTACCAGGGAGTTCCTCCAGTCTTGGGTCTTTGTTTATCTACCAACTCAGCAAGCTGGAGAATCATTTTTGTCACAGGGCTGGCAGAACATGAGCCCTGGTCTAGATGCAGTTAACTTCAGGGACGCTCTATGGGTTTTGAAAGGAAACCGCTCCATGTTCACAAGTGGTCAAAGTCAGCATCGATTGTTTCTTTCATGAAATCGGTGACTTTGAGAGGGGGCACTTGTGCCGGTAGGAGACATTTTCCTGTCAGTTGTTGGGATTTTCAATGAGCAAGGACATTTTAAGCCGTTCCCAGACGCAGGGTTCCTAACTGCGTTCCAGAGCCAACCCCAAACCCACTACTGTAAACCAGCTGTAAACAGACCCGAATCTAAGTTTATTTTGAAGGGTATATGTGTGCGAGTTTCGACACACATGACGGCAATTTGCAGACCAGAGCACATGCAGCTTCCACATGCCCAGTTGAGGGCACGCAACTATTGTTTGCCTGACAATGTCATGACAATGACAGAAACACTATTGACTGTTGTTCAGGTATCGACCCCAAAAGGCCAGAATAAACAGCGAATTTGGTCCGCAAATAGCTTGTCCACCAAGGACACTGTGTTTGTCGTAAGATGTTTGCTTCTTTGGGGAATGTTTTTTGCTGATTGTGTGTTGTGATGTGGTGCCAGCCATTCAACTTCAGAATCCTCAGGCGAAGCAGAAGCAACTGCAGTGAATCTTGGCGAACCAGAGCTTTTTGGTCGAACATCATCCATCAGAGGCCCTTTTTGCGGGGGATCTTACGGCACTCACGAGAAATTCTGAGTGCCAGGCTGCCGTAGAGATGATGCTTGAGGAGGATGTGGCCTCATTCCGATGGCAGGGGATCCTCGCCTTCCAGGTGTTCTCACTCACAGGCCACGTAGGGCCAAGAAGCTCCTACTCAACCAGGGCTCCTTAAGAGATACAAGTTGCAACTATTTGAAACATGGCTTTTTCCACCAAAATAAAGGGAAACCACCATTTACAAGGCAATGTTCAGGTGTATAATGTAAGGATCCTTGTCAACCCACAAGTCTTCGCAGATCCGGATTGTGTTTGCCATCGGCTTCTTCGAGCAGACGCCATTTTAGCTTTGCATTTTAAGCCTGGGAGAATTACTTGGATGTGCAATGCACACTTTGATGTGTGTCATTCCTACTTCAAACAAGTCTGATTATAGCCACACGTCGCCACACACTGCATGTTCAGGCTCCATGCTTCTTTGGGATACATATGATTCTGATGATGGCGGTGGCTTGTTGGGGCACTCCAAAGATCGCTGGGCTTGCACCTTTGCACCACAGCAAGAGTGGCAGCCTGGGTCCTGTCAATCACACATATGCTTCTAGAAGCTGTACAAAGTGTTTACATTGCATGCCGTGCTTCTATTTTGGAATCGTACGTGTTGCCAGCCTAGACAGATTCAGGGTCCGCACAATCAATTCTAGGAGATATCACTCGATGGTAACAATGGCGTTCTGCCGTCTGGACTTCTGTGTAGACTTGCTGATTTTTCAACTTGACACTGCACTTTAGCTGCCCTGCTTTGAATGTGCTCCACTTCAGATTGCGGAAGGATCGTTTGGATTGGCCAGTTCCAACCAGTTTCCCAGGGCCTTTTTTGTCCGCACTCGAAATCTTTGTGGGAGCCATACCAAAACGGCTTCGGTTGGCCGTAATTCGATTGTGTCAGAGCCGTTTTGTACTCAATTGACAAGACACTTTTGCATGAACAGCAGGATTGTACATGGGTATGGCACTGTTGGGTGAATCATGATTGCGATATAGCACTGGTCTCCCATCTGAATTGCCGTGCGAGATGGTTTGTTGGCAACTGCTGGTGCCTAATCCCCACGCATGGGGAATTGAATCGGGTTTGCATGACTACGTGTCGAAACCCAGACCCCTTCGAAGAGGTCGGTAGGCTTCCTTTCAGTCTCTTTTTGGGAGCAATCCCATACAACTTCCACTCTACAGATTTCAGCATGTATGTCGGGCAACCATATGGGCGCGTTTCTACACGCCAGGCGCGTGCTCCTTTATGCTGCTTCAAGTTCTTCTGGCCGTTCCTGGCATGGACCGTCGCATCCCCAGATTCATACGCCCCTACCTCCCTGACGAGCTCGAGGAGATGAGGCTAACGCGGCCCGGAAACGCGATATGTCCACGAACATGACACACATGGGTCACCAGGTTCTCAAAACTGGGAGTGAGCGTTGTGCAAGATTGGCCTTTGGGCCTTTTAAAACTGCACTCGCTGTTCGTCTGTGGATTGGATGTTGATGTTTCTGTGTGCGTGTGCGTGTGCGTGTGCGTGTCTGTCTCTGTCTCTGTCTCTGTCTCTGTCTCTGTCTGTGTCTGTGTCTGTGTCTGTGTCTGTGTGTGTGTGTGTTTGTCTGACTCCGCTTGATTCTGTGCGACTCTGTGTGACTGTTTGCACGTGCTTGTGTTTGTGCATGTGCAATCATGTGCATCTTTGAACGTCTCCGTGTGTTTCTACATATATCTTGCTCTCAGTCTGTGTGTCTTGAGGTGCCTCTGTGTCTCTGCGTGCGTGTCTCGTTTTGCTGTTTGCCTTGGTGACTCTGTGTGTTTCCGTGATTCTGCATGTCTTTGTCTATCGTTCTCTGAGCATGTGTGCGTGCAAATTGTCCTCCTCTTTTGGAGTCGACTTGCACCGGCAGACCTCAGCCCTGTCCAAGTACTATGAGAGGTGTTGCATCTTTCTCTTTGTCTCTCCCTCTCTCTCTCTCTCTCTCTTTCTCTCTGACTCTGGCGGTATTGGTCTAGCATATTCACAGATTACAGATACAAGCAAGATACTCATTGATCCCAAGCTACCCAGAGCTGAGAATTTATTTCAAATTGATACTTGGATTTGTTCAGCAGGACTTGTACCCTTTATGTTAATCGTTCATTAGCCACTTGGAGCATGGAGTATCCCAGAGAAGGATTGATCATCCCCTTGGATCCATCCAGTCCATTAATCGCATGGATCAAAGATCACTGTGAATCCAGTATGTGTTAAAGTGCCACAAGAGATTGCAGACTATTGAGCCAGAGGACGAATAGTTGTGCAAGTTAAAGAGAGAGAGAGAGAGAGAGGGAGAGAGAGGGAGAGATAGGGAGAGATAGAGAGAGATAGAGACAGAGAGAGAGAGAGAGACGCACAAGCGCATGGACAAACTGGGCACTCGCACAGCCCGCCTCAAATGTGTCTCAAATGTTCATGTTGAGTGGGACAATTCGGCTGAATTCTGGGTAGTAAAGCCGGAAGGCGTCTAAACCAAGAACGACGAACGCCTCCCGACTGGGCCAAAATCACTTACGATGAAGGTTTACACAATGGACAGCCGAAATGCCCTGACTCATCCAACAACAAAAGGTTGGTTGCTTTCGATTTATTTGCGAACAACGGTAGACGTTTCTGTTGCAATGCTTGTTTGTTGCTGAATATCCGAGCCGTTATGTCGAAAGAAGCATGGTTTCAAGACTAAACCTGAAGCACTATAGGTCCTGAACAAGGCAACTTCACTGTTTGTAACCACCCAAGTGCGTCAGCAGGCATCGCGTGGAAATTTCTTTGTTGATGAAGGGATTAACGAACTGCTTTGCAATGAATCGTTGCAGGAGTATCAGAGGTAATTCAACCACATGTTGCCAAGGGGCATTTGAAGTGGTTTCCTTTGAGTATGGTTTGCCTAGGCTTTTCCACATGTTCACTTGGAAAATGATCATGGCAACTCGGATCATTTCATTGGTTCAAAGCAAAGGTTGGGAAGGAAAGGTGCAGTTTTCCATCAGTATTCATCAAAGTCCAGCGCTGAGTCCGAGGCTGGCTTCAATGGACCCGCAGCTGATCCTGAACTTTGATGCGTCCGACCTCAACTTCCTGGTGCCTCGGTTTGCCTCGGAAGCCGTAGGCTGCCGGTGAGTTTCTATGGGGTTCATAGGACAGGTCCTCGCCCGGTTTGGCCGCTTTGGCAAGATCTAGCAAGAAAACCAGACCTCCTGGCAGGTGAGAGATGAACATAAAAGAACCCCTATGCAATGGCTGAGCAATCAAGGCTGGTGAACGAGAAGTATTCATTCCTGTGTTTTCTGATCAAGCAGGGGTATCACTTGTAACTTAGTGTAGCCACTTGGTACGTGTCGATTTCTGAGCCGTGATCCATTGGCTTGCCATTTGGCATTCTCCACAAGTCACGAAAGCTAGCTTTAGCTAGCTGAAGTTTCTCCTTGCGTAAGCAAGGTAAGGGGCTCAAATGCCGAAAGATTGATTTTTTCAATTATTTGAGCCGAAAAGATTGAAAAACATCAATTATTTAGACCCCCCCCCCCCCTCCCCCCCCCCCGGGTCTCAGGCTCGATTCCTCCCTGGTCCATCCCCCCCCCCCCGGGCAGTGGCTCAGTGTTCAGCAGTCTCGGTTTGCCCGTTTTGGACTTGGTGCTACGAACTTTTACGTGTTCCACCGATTCAGCTTGTTCACTTGAGACCTCAGTCTTCTCGGTAAACCACCTCGCAAGAATCTTTGCACACGCTGCATGCAGAACCCAGAGGTGCTTTAAGACAGCTTCTGACGCCTCTCGTTGTTTTCATTTTTCAAGGTTTGCCACGCCACCATGTGCGTTTGTCGCATCCTACGAATCTTGCCGGGCCTCTCGTTGTACACAAGCTACCTATAAGCTACCTATGAATCCACTCTGTCACCGACCCATCTCATGCAACAACTGCTAGCTTTCGTTCACCCGCTCCTCAAGTTGTTTGATCTTCACCTAGGGCTTTTTTGGTTTTCAGGGCAGTCAGCAATGAAACGTATGGGGTGTGACAACAGAGCGTGACCGTGAGGCAGCCCCCCCCAGTGAGAGAAGGCAACTTGACGCCGGTCCGCCCAGGAGCAACTGTTGAGCGCAAGCCGTGCCACAGTGGGACGGAGCCAACAGCTGAAGCTGGCAAGGCCGGGTGTATGAGACAGCAGATGAACCTGACGCGCAAAGCTCCTCAAAGCTCACCGAAATGGTCACGAGAAAAGCAATAAAATCATGACGATCATAGGTGTCCTTTTTGGTGGTTTTGATAGAAAAATAGATGGCCCTGGTTTACCTGGTGGTTTCATCATCTACCAGGGAAACCCATCTATTTGCCTCAAAAGGACACCTATGATGACGATGACTTTCCACGACCGGCTTTTTCATGAGCCGATGAGTTTGGCTTTGTCAGCGAGCTTGGAGATTTGGGCGGAAATGCTACGTTGGCCTGCATTCGGTTGGGTCGCTGCTTGGTTGTAGGCGCAGTTTGTGTAGATGCATCAAGGGTATGGGTGCATCTAGAGCACGTGTTCACAATTGAGTTTTTCCCATATGCCTTCAGAGCTTGTTCGGATTTGTTTGGATCATTGGCGCAAATAGTGTGAGATGCCGGTTTGGCGAATCTCCGACTCGCCTTGATTTGGCAAAGAACATCGCAAACAATTGAACCGTGATGCGCGGATGAGCTGGTTCTTGTTCAAATCCCCCCACCAAGATTTGTACAAAGAAGATCAAGGTGCTGTTTGAGTTGACTAGCACTGGTAGTTCAAGCATGCTTGTCTACACAGATTGCTCGCACTGCTACATGTGATCCTGAAGAAGACTAGACCACTTTTGTGGGGACCCCCGTGTAGTGGCTTTGAAGAACAAACAACAGTCTGTAGAACCCTACAAAAACCCAACTATGGGGTGTTCTGTGCAACAGCCAGCCAAAAGATTCACTACCTTGCAACTAGCAAGGTGCATTTTGCATGTTCACCGAGCATGTTCACAGACCATGTTTCAGAAAAGCCGCAAGAAAAAAGCGCAAACAGCGTGCGAAGGACATGAAAACAAATATGTGCCAGGAACCGATCAGTATGAAAGGCGACAGGCGGATACTTGCACTGCGTTTTTGAGAGACTGTGAAGTCATATGCCCTGCTAGATGGCGTAGCGTCACTCCGGGGCGGCAGCTCATGTCTGTCTACCACAAGGGCGGCATCAACGAGCTCCGCAAGGCAAGCCTAATGAGAGGGGTGCGGTAACGAAAGGTGGAAGTCAAGCAAAGCATGTTTGGTCTCAATGCCGTATCGTTTACAATGAAGAAACACATGGCCATCGTACCCCCAGTGAACATCCCAATCCAACCACTAAAATAGGTTCTAATTGTAAACGCTTCGCGTTGCCCGCCTCGGCCAGTCCGCTTTTGGCTGGCTTTGAGGTATACACCGTGCTTTAGTTTGCCTTGTAGTCTTGTGTTTGCGTTTCCAAGGTAGAGGGGGGTTCATGTTTGTGTGTTTCCATGTGAAGCGCGGTCAGATTTTTTACGGAAAAGGGCAGTAGTCTACACTTGGACATCCATATAGCTCAAGGTGCTTGAAACCATGGAAAACGATAGGGGGCTCTCAAAAAACAATAGGGGACTCCCATGGCATGGCGGAAGGACTTGGCCGGAGTTGCGATTTGACAGGTTTCTAGAGGGGGAGTTTGCTCGGTCGGCTTTTCAGGGGGGATTTGGATTTGACCTTTTTTAAAGGGATGTTGACCGGATTTGACTGGAGTTGGATCGGCTTTGAGGGGGGCAAGCCGCCCTGGAAGGGGAGGGGGTCGCACGGTGAAATTTCGAAGTGGGGAAGGGGTTGGGGATGGGGTTTTGGAGAAGGGGTCTGACTGCTTCCCTGAGCGCCGAGGCAAATAAAATGGGTGGTACACCTACCAACCAAAATGGGATCCCATTGGTTGCAACCACGACCACTGAAGGCCAGAAGCTGCTTGGCCAAGGCTTGGCCACCTTGCATCTAAGTCATCATGTTCCGACCAATCTTTGAAGCAGGCATCAAGGTTGTTGATTTACTTACTCCTTATGCGGCGTGGCAAATTGACTTGTTTGGAGGTGCTTTTTAGAGGCGTAAAGCCAATGACACCACCATTTGTTGGTAGCAAATTGGCCTCTGGCTGCATGCAGCCAGCATGAGGCCTGAGCACGCCAGTTTGCAGGACGAACATGAGGTGCACAAATTGGAACTGGAAGCTGGATGCACAGCGGAGAAAGTTGGGTTTGATGTGAGTTAATATTTGAAGTTGAATCTCATTTTTGCACTGGATAGGAAGTCAGGCTGTTTATCCAGAGCCCACAGTTCCAATCTAACGACCACTACTTTGCACTTCACCGCCCGAAGGAGTAAATGTGTTCATGCTGGCAGCGGTTCACTTGAATGATCATGGTACGATCATGTTGTTGACTGAGCTTTGCCTTGCCCTGTCATATTGGCTTACGTCAGGAACAAGGCTCTTGCGATGGCACAAGGCAAGTCACTGAAACACATGTGTACACGTTGATGTGCGCTGAGCATTACGCAGGATGTTCAGCCTTACCCCGTGCTTTGGGAGTCTTGACTTGTGTAACGTCTTATGTTGTAATTTTCATCGATAAATCTCTCTTTGCTGACAGCAATCCACTTCCTCCAAGCTTATTGCCACTCAAGACTCCTAGTTTGAGTCATTGCCTTGCACGGCGTGAGGAAGTGGTGCCAGATGATCAGATGGAGAGCGCGTGCCACCAGGAGGATGGAGAGGAGGATGGAGAGGAGGATGGAGAGGAGGATGGAGAGGAGGATGGAGTGGAGGAGCATCACAGCTGTGTCAAAGCGTGTTGTGACCGGGTACCAGAGATGCCCCAAGTGTCCATGTGCTTTTGGACGACCAGCAACTGCCATCAAGGAGAAGGGCTTTGCCCTCATAGAGTCTGCAGTCTTTCTTGTTCCACGAATGTTTCTTGTCACGCAACTTCGCATGGGCACAAATCCACTTCATTGTTGGCAAGGCGGGACTCAACACACACACACACAGACACAGGCGCACACACACACACACAGGCACACACACACACACAGGCACACACACACACAGGCACACACACAAACAGGCGCACACACACACACAGAGAGAGAGAGGCACACAGAGAGGCACACGGAGAGGCACACAGAGAGGCACACAGAGAAGCACACAGAGAGGCACACAGAGAGGCACACAAGGCACAAATAGAGACACACACAGAGACACACACAGAAACACACACACACAGAGACACACACAGAGACACACACACACACACCCACACACACACACACCCACCCACCCACCCACCCACCCACCCACCCACCCACGCACGCATGGACCACCCACCCACCCACCCACGCACGCACGCACGCACCCACGCACGCACGCACGCACGCACGCACGCACGCACGCACGCACGCACGCACGC